GTATAAGATTAGTCTAGTGCGGGTTACTCTTTACCTTTTTATAAGAATAAGAATTAATTCTATATAAGTTAGATATTAATTTAGAGTATAGTACTCTTTATATTAATATAAAAGTAATAATTATTTTCTTAATTACTTTAGAATAGGTCTTGGATTAGTTTAAATTATATTACCTTTTACTTTTTCTTTTTTAAATAAAATCTACTTTTTTTATAAAAAAATACCTATCTTCTTAATTAGTTCCAAACCACCCCGATTTTACTCTAAAATATAATACTCTTTACCTTTATATAAAAATAAAAATTATCTTTTTTTAACTAGTTCTATATAAGATGAAGATTAATATATAGCGTACTACTTTTAATTTTTTTGTAAAAATAAATTTAAATAAATCCGAGATTAATATAAAGTATATTATTTCTTTACCTTTTAAATAAGTAATATTTATTTTTATACTTATTATTAATAGAGATATTATAATATTATACTATATTTCTTTATTAAATTTTAATATATTATAGATATATAATAGATAAAGTAATATATAACTAACTATTTTAAACTATTAAGTAAAACTATATAATAAGAATATAAAAAGTTTAATTCTAAGTTATATAAATACTAATACTATATAATATTTATAAACTTTAATATATTTATAATATAAATAATAGAAATATAAGAAATTATTCAATTGAGAGAAATTACCCTTTTATATAATTGGAATAAGGACTTAAATTTCTATATATATTAAATACTATAGTTATACTATAAATTTATTATAAATTGATCTTGGATTAATTTAGTATAAATTTTTTACAAAAGAACTTACTTGGATTAAATTTATATAAATACTAATTAAATATATATAATCGCGATATCTACGAATTTATATAAAGTAAGTGTTTAATATTATATATGAATTTAATAATTAAGTAGTTATATATTTAAAAGCTATAAATATAATATATTTTAGGTAATTACTTAAAAACTATTTAATTTTTAAATATTTCCTTTTATATAAGTATTTTAATTATAAATATATAATATTTATTATTAACGTTTGTTATAAAGTATTTAATTTTAAATTATAATAAATTTTCTAAAAATTAAATTATTTTTATATACCTATTTTTGTATTTTATATAATAGTTTTCCCTTTCTTATATATTTTTAAAACTATTTACAAAACAATCTTTAGTATTAAAATTTTATTATTAATACAAATTAGAATTTATAATTAAATATAACCCTTTAGTTTAGAACCATTACTCATAATAATTATTATTAATTTAGGTATAGTTTATTATAAATTAGCTATATACAACCTAGATACCCGGGATTAATTTAGAATAGGTCCCGAACCTATTTAGTCCTTAGCCTCTATAGGATCGGCCTTAACCGTTAGAATACTAGTAAAGCGGTTTTTTTTATCCGTATTAAAGGTAAAAAAAATCCTAAACCGAATATAGTTCCTTACTCTCATCCTTATTCTCAATCGGGCGTTCGGGAGGCGGACCTAAATTAATTCTAAATTAGTTATAAATAGGTCGGGGATAGGTCTAAAACTAATTTTGCTTATACTTATAAGTACCTATACGGGTATAGCTAATATAAAACTAAGTTTTTATTTCGGCGTTCAAGGGTTTATTGAATTTGGTTCTAATAAAAGTATACTTTATCTACGCGTATAAAGGCTAAACGAAATTAATTAATAATAAATCCGGGATTAATTGAAAATTAATTCTAAATTGATTTAAAATTTACAATATATTTATTAATATAAGGTACGTCCGGTTAAGTAGTTTTAGCCTTCTTAACCAGGGAAAGAAGTATAGTATTTTCCTTTTTATTATCCTCCTCCTTTTTACCTTCGTCGTTATCCTTATTAATAGTTAAGCGCTTTTTAGCGAATTCTTTACCCTTCTTTGGGCAGGAGGGTAGGGATAAGACCAATTTAGGACCGGTTTCGGAATTATTATTATTTATATAGGAAATTCTCGTTATAAGATTGCGATAGAAGATTATAGGAAATTCATCTTAAATTAATTAAGAATTAGTCTATAATTAATTACGTACCCTTTAAACTCTTATTCTCTTCCAAATTAGGGCTGCTAACGTTATTAGCTTTAATAATAACCTTAATACTTCTAACTACCGTATATTTTATAATATATTTATATAAGTTCGAAGTATTTCTTTAATTATATTAAAAATAAAACCGGATTAGTAGTATATTAATTTAGGATTAGTTTAAAATTAGTTTTAAATTAGTCCTACATACCTTATTAAAGTATATAACACTACCGGGCCTAATAAAGCGGTAAAAGACTTCGCTAGCTACGAATTAGACTTCGCTATTCTAAATAGGTTAAAGATTAGTCTTAAATAAGTTGTAAATTATTATAAAATTAAATTTATTTTATTAAAGAGGAAGGGTAGTAGGTTAGCCGGGCGCTATTTTAAAGCTTTATAATTTAGGTATAATTATTCTTTAGAATAATTATTAATTATTTTGTAGATTAGTTCGGGATGCGTTGTAAATTGATTATGAATTAGTCGAGAATTAGTCCTATAATTAAGAATTAATATAAAAAAAAAAAAAAAATTTAAAAATATTTTTTTTTTTGAAAATTTTCTAAAAAAAAATTGAGAAGAATCTGATAAATATCTTATACGTACTACTAATGGATTTGAGGTTAATTGAAAGAAGAAAGAAGGAGGAAGTTTGAAATTAGAAATGGAGATTTATATATAGTGAATTCTGCCCAAAGTAGTGAAAAAAAATGGATTACATAAGCAAAAGCGGTAAGAATAGTTTGAATTACGTTATATATTACGTAGTAAGTTATTTAAATTTCAATAAAGTGTATAAGTATAGTAATAAATAATAATAAAGATTTTATTCAGATTTATTCTATAAAAAATTGAAGTATTAGTAGAGGATTAATCAAAGATTAATCTAGAAATGTTTAACTGAGTTAGTTATTTACTTTAATATATCATATTTATTCTACGTTCTATATATATTCTCTATAATATTCAACTATTGTAAACTGCTTAAATAAGTATATATTTACAATATATAAAATACTAATTTTGGAAATATTATAATATATTTAAACCTTCTTCAATATAAATAAATTTATTTAATAATATTTATTATAGTAACATTCTCTAAAATATATATTTAATATTGTAAATTATATTTGTTTCTTTATAATTATTAGATATTAATATTTTGTTTTATATTTATATATTTCTTGAAATCTTTATTTACTGTATAAGAATTTCTTTTTATACTACTATTAACTTTTTAATTTATATAAAATCCATCCTATTCTATTAAATATTATAGTATATAATTTAAATAAAGTTATTATTTTATATTATATACTAATCTTAAAATAAATAATTTATTAAAATATATTTATTAATAATTCTATATAGTTATATAATAATTCAATTTATAAACTACCTTTTATACTACTCTAAAATATTGAAAATTAATATAATAATATTTATAACTCTGGACCGGACTGAATATATCCACTTTCTAATTAGATTCAATTTTATTTTAAACTTTACTACATATGTATAAACTTTATATTACTAACTAAATTTTTTATAAAAGATTAATTTAGATCCTTGTATTTAAACCTATTAATACCCTTAATATTATAATAAAGTTTTATTTTTTTCAATCTTTTCCAACAAAAAAGTTTATAATACAATGCTACCTTTATATAGAAAATCTATTTTAATTGTATATAAATTTTATTTACTTAAAATCTATCCTTATTTCTTTTTATATTGTATTTTTAATACTATAAGAGTGTTGATTCTATACCGGTTATAGACTTATTTATAATTATAATTAATATTTCATTTAAATAAGTTTTATTTCTTATTTTGGAACTTATATTTATTTAATTCTTTTCTACATTTATAAGCTACTTAATAAATTAAGTATTTATTTTAACATTCTTATTAATCTACTAATTTAAATATTTAGTAAAGTAAATTATCAGTATATTAACTTTTAATTTAAATTATTTGAACTTATTCTAATAATAATCTAATTATATATATTCAATTATATTATTAAACATATAAAGTAGATTACCAAAAACAAGATTCTAATATACTGACTTGTATTATAGAATATTATATAGTTTTAGTTTGAATTTTGATTTTTTAATCTATTTATTATATATATTATATAAATAATATTCTAATATTTATACCCCCTTAGATTATTCCTATAATTAATTTTCTATTTTATATTTAATATTATTAAAATACTTTCAAAAAGATTATTTAGAATATTTAATAATTAATATATGAGTTACAAAAAATTATCCTACAATAGGAAAAATATATTGAATTTGCTACTTATATAGCTAAAGTAAATAGACTTCTTTTTTTTAATACTTTAATATAGTTAATCTAAGAATTTATATAGAACTAGTCCGTAACCAGTCCTAGACCGGTCCAGGATACGTTCGCACATTACCGCCTAGTATAGCAAGTTACAGTCTTATTTTACAACCTAGTATACTACTTACAATTTTAGGGATCGGTCCAGGATCGGTCCGGGACAGGTTCGCACATTACGGCCTAGTATAGCAAGTCACAGTTTTGTTTTACAGCCTGGTATACTACTTACAATTTTAAAGATCGGTCTAGAATTAGTCCGGGATAGGTTCTTACTATACGGTATACTCATTAACGATAAGAGGATAGGTTTAGTATAATTACTAAGGAATCCGGTATTGGCTCAATTCTGCTTACGGTATGGGGTAGATGTCTTGGTATGGTCTTGGCGCTCCGTGTGAGATCCGAGGTCAGACCCATGTGTGAGGTGATCTAGGTGCTCGGTTGGAAGCTTCTTAGTGTATGTCATGAAGAACCCTAACCCTTACATTGATTGGGTCTCCCGTATGCCCCTTGACGACTTACAAGTAGAAGGGACTACGAGACCACAAGATGTGCCGTATGCCATGTGATATGTGCATGTATATTGTACAAATCTCCAGCTGTATACGTTCTGATCCTTCTCCTACTGACAACGACATTCCACTAGTATAGCTACCTCTCGGGATACGGTGAGTTTCTCTCCAGTCGAATAGCAGTCGCTTGTACAATCCTACCATCTCCGTCGTCACCCTCCTTGACATCACTGCAAGGGTTATCGAAAGTGGTTCCCGGGAAACACCTTGTTCAACCACTGAGAGATGCTGTTCAGGGAAGAATCAGACACCTTGAATGCCTGCTCGGCGGTAGCCGACTTGAGAACTGTCGCCCAGTCCTTGATCTCGTACAGTTTAACAGCACTGTCATCTTCTGAACCCTTGGCCAAGGTCTGGCTGACCACTCCATCGTAAAAGTCCCCGTCTATAGCGGGGCCTTCGTACTTGAGACCAGAAACATTGGCGGTCTGAATCTCACCATGGCGGAGGGTGAACTGAATGTTGAACTGAGGACGAGTTAGCGCTTCGGTATACAACAGAGAGCGCATCTAACTTGGTGAGAGTAGGCTGCGAAGGGGATAAGGAAATAAACTTACGTCTGACTGTACCTCAAAGTCCAGAGGTGGGCGTTCCCTTGGGTCATCTTCGGTTGGGCGAGAAGAGAAGGTGAACTGGGGTGTTTGGCCGTATATCCACGGAATAGACTATCGAGTATGAGCACAAGTCACCGACAATGTGAGATGGATTATCAGAGCATCTTATGCTTACCGTCAACTCGTCCATACCCTTGCGGATATTGTCCATGTTTTTCATGTCCTCCTCCCCAACACGGTTTACTTTTACATCTTCACCACACTGCTCTTCGTACATGGCGAGGAACTCATCCACAACGCCCTTGGTGAATTCCTCCGTATCGACATCAACGTTCCGAATTGGCGATCTCACACTCTCCACACCCCTGGCCTTGATGTACGGCTCACCAGGACTTCTCAGGAATTTGCCAATATTCTTCAACCGTGGGGAGTTGAGAAGACATGTCCCATGGTGAAGTGATCTCAACCTGGTAAGCTTGTAGGCGGACCCAGAGACCTTGAAGATGTCCTGTCCGTTGCCCCTTCCGTCACCGGCAATAACGATGTCGTGACGCTCGTTGACCTTGGCGGTGGTAACCCCCAGATCCTTGAGCGCCCGGACAACCATCTCGGCATGCCTGTCTCGGTCGAAGACAGCGGGTGGGCAGATGACGCTCCAGTTCACATTGCCATGGTCATGAAAGACGGTACCACCACCGGAGCGGCGACGAACGAGTTTGATGTCCTCTGCTTCTTGCAGAGCAGGCAAGTTGACTTCAAGCCATGGGTTTTGGTTACGTCCAATGACAACGCAAGGATCATTGATGTAGAGAAAGAGGACGTAAGATTCTGGGTGTGAGTGTTGGAGGAGGTGATGCTCGATGGAGAGGTTCAAGTATGGGTCCTTGGAAGTGGACTGATAGACCTGGACCTTTTTGTTCAACAGATCTTGGCTGATGGTTGTGCTATAAGACCGGCGGTATTTGGCGAGAAGACCGAAGCCATGACTGGACGAGATAGTCGTGGTAGTGCTGATGAAGGCCGAACCCTTTGTCAAGCAACGGATGCCACCGGTCGTGTTGCGCAAGAGCAAGGCAGCCATCTTGGAGTGTCTTGATATGTCTACTGACTGGCATCAGTCACACTCATCCCACTCCGCGAGAGCCAGCCTCAGGTTGTTGAAGGCAGAAAGAGGTTGCCATACTGACAAGACGGCGAGACTAGAGGTAGGCGGTTCTAACGAGAAGTGATCAAGGCATCCCGGGATGGTCTTTGATCCACTGTAAATCGATGTCAAACAGCAAGGCGGGTTCCAGCGGCGTTGACATTCCCCCCTTGTAGATTTTGGCTTCAACTTCAGCTTGATCGGCTTTCACCTTACCCAACCCTTGCCAACCCTGGCAGTTCCGGATGGAACACCAAAAACCCTCCGTGTCGGCGACCGAAGATACTATGTGCAAGGTGTTGTGGTCCGTGCTCCGATCTGAATTCTTGGTGCAGGCAGGGGACCTTGCGGGAGGGCCGATGACGGCGTACGAGGGGCATCTCTTTTTCTTTTTGGTCGATTCCGTCGCATCGCCTGATTCACACTTCTGGAAAAAGACTTAACCTTTGACTCTTCAGATCTGCAATGATGTTTTGTATTTTTAAGACTGTACCATATTGAATACATCATCAATCACCAACATCTAGGTAGCGTTTGCGTAGATTACATACCTAGTTTACACGACTGGCCTGAACTTTCCATTTTTTATTTTATTTTCTGTGACGGCGATTTACAAAGATCCCTGTCTGAGTCACCACATCAGGCCCGCCACCGTCACGCCTTCTTCCATTGTAGCTAACAACTTGAAGGCAATTAATTCCATTGAACTTCCTCCTCCCTCCGCATCCCTTCCGAGCCATATCAGACCACCGTAACCATGTCTACCTTCGGCCACTATTTCCGTGTCACGACGTATGTCTACAAACAAACCGCAATGCCAATTGGCATCCAACGTTAACAATCCAACAGCTATGGCGAGTCGCACTGCAAGTCGGTCGGCTGCATTGTCGATGGCGTCCCTCCCGGCATGGAGCTCACCGAGGACGATATCCAGCCTCAGATGACCCGCAGACGTCCCGGACAGAGCGCCATCACCACCCCGAGAAACGAGAAGGACAGAGTCATCATCCAGTCCGGCACTGAGTTCGGCGTCACTCTTGGAACGCCAATTGGCATGCTGGTCATGAACGAGGACCAACGCCCCAAGGGTGAGTTCCAGCTGTTACATCACAAGCCTCTTTGTTCTGCTTACCGCTGACGCTGTTCTGTCCAGACTACGGTAACAAGACTATGGACATCTACCCCCGCCCTTCCCACGCCGACTGGACCTACCTCGAGAAATATGGCGTCAAGGCCTCCTCGGGTGGCGGCCGCTCTTCCGCCCGTGAGACCATCGGCCGTGTCGCTGCTGGTGCCATCGCCGAGAAGTATCTCAAGCTCGCCTACGGTGTCGAGATTGTCGCCTTCGTCTCCTCGGTCGGTTCCGAGCACCTCTTCCCTCCCACGGCCGAACACCCCAGCCCGAGCACCAACCCCGAGTTCCTCAAGCTCGTCAACTCCATCACCCGCGAGACCGTCGACAGCTTCCTGCCCGTCCGTTGCCCCGATGCCGAGGCCAACAAGCGCATGGAGGATTTGATCACCAAGTTCAGGGACAACCACGACAGTATTGGCGGCACCGTCACCTGCGTCATTCGCAACGTTCCCAGCGGCTTGGGCGAGCCTGCTTTCGACAAGCTCGAGGCCATGCTGGCGCACGCCATGCTCAGCATTCCCGCGACCAAGGGCTTCGAGGTCGGTTCCGGTTTCGGAGGCTGCGAGGTTCCCGGCTCGATTCACAACGACCCCTTCGTCTCTGCCGAGAACACCGAGATCCCCCCTAGCGTGGCCGCCAGCGGCGCTGCTCGCAATGGCATCCCCCGCCCCAAGCTGACCACCAAGACCAACTTCTCTGGTGGTATCCAGGGTGGTATCAGCAACGGTGCGCCCATCTACTTCAGAGTCGGCTTCAAGCCTGCTGCCACCATCGGCCAGGAGCAGACTACTGCCACCTACGATGGTACTTCGGAGGGTGTTCTCGCCGCCAAGGGTAGACACGACCCCAGCGTGGTGCCTCGTGCCGTGCCTATTGTCGAGGCCATGGCGGCTTTGGTGATCATGGATGCTGTTTTGGCGCAGCAGGCCAGGCACACTGCCAAGAGCTTGCTTCCTCCCCTCAAGCAGACCATCAACTCCGGAAAGGACACCGTAGGAAACGGTGTTTCTGAAAACGTTCAGGAGTCGGACCTTACGCAATAGGCGGATTTACGATTGTAGGAAAGGGAAAATGTGATTAATGTTAAAAGTTGTTAAAAGGGATTTGTCTTTTTGTGATACCGGTAGCTAGACTCTGTTGGGCGTGTTTCTTGTTTCTTTGTACATGATTGAAGGTCTAGAATAAAAATGCGTTCTTGTTCATCGATACACCCATCTCAACCCCCACTAATAAACTCGGTTTAATCTGGATAGACAACTGCCATTCTAGACCCTTTTCCATCCAGTCGTTACATGCGATGGAGATGCCGTTGTCGCGGGGCGGCCCGGCAAATGATTTCCCCTGCAGTATACCACCAGCAACGCCAAGTCACATGAGATGGCGCCGTAACGATGCGCTAACTGATGAACTGATGCGGGGAAGGCAGGGGGATCCAATGGAATCCCGAAGCTATGCGACATCACTTGGCGATTGGAGCGTTCGTGTTCCGTCAACTTCGACAGGAAGCTCCGGCGGACTCCCTTCCCATTCATCCATCCATCCATTCCAATTCCCTTTTATGTGTGTTAGATAGTTCCTAGTCCTTGGTCCTTCTTATCTAGTCTCTCCTCCCAATTGATCTTGTTTGAATGGTTGCAAACATGTCGAGATTCGGTTCCCTTCAAGCCATCCCCCGACAACTGCTTCGGACCTCGGTCCACCTCCGTGCTGGCCTTCAAGGTGCCCGGACCACCATCAGCAGAAGCTATGCGACTGCCAACGACCAACGCCCATCCCAACCGACTCAGCCTACATTCGATAACCGCGTGAAGATTGTGGAAGTCGGCCCTCGTGATGGATTGCAGAATGAAAAGAAGTCGATACCGCTGGCGACCAAGATCGAGTTGATCGAGAGGCTCGCAAAGACGGGACTCCAGACCATCGAGGCCGGTGCTTTTGTCTCGCCCAAGTGGGTGCCACAGGTCAGTAGAAATTGTTTACTTCCCCTTTCTTCCCATCATATCATAACCCCCTTGCTCTACTAACACTCATCCCACCGAACAGATGGCCAACTCTGACGAGATCCTCGAACACCTCCTCAAGACCCCTCCTCCCTCCCCCGTCCCTCTAACCTTCTCCTTCCTGGCCCCCAACACCAAAGGTCTCGACTCCGCCCTCTCCATCCTCGGCAAATACCCCGATGCCTACGAGACGGAAACCACCCGCTCCGGCAAATCTGCCCAAGAAGGCGGTAAGCCGGCCCTTGAAATCGCCGTCTTTGCCGCCGCCACCGAGTCCTTTTCGCAAAAGAACCTCAACTGCTCCATCGACGCTTCTTTGCGACAGTTCAAGGAAGTGATCCAGCAAGCCAAGCAAGCCAACCTGCGCGTGCGCGCTTACATCTCGGTCGTTTTGGGGTGCCCCTTTGAAGGCTACGACGTCGACCCCCACCGCGTAGCCACCATCGCCACCGATTTGTTGGAAATGGGCGCCGACGAGATTTCTTTGGGAGACACCACAGGCATGGGCACCGCTCCGCGCACCAAGGAGTTGCTGAACTGTCTGTCTTTGGCGGGAATCCGCAACGAGGACCTGGCGATGCATTTCCACGATACCTACGCGCAGGCGCTGGTCAACACGGCGGTGGCGCTGGAGCACGGGATTCGGACGTTTGATAGCAGTGTGGGCGGGCTGGGTGGGTGTCCGTATAGTCCCGGGGCAACGGGGAACGTGGCGACGGAGAATGTGGTGTATTTCATGGAGAGCTTGGGCATGGATACGGGCGTGGATCTGGATCGGGTGGCGGATATTGGGGATTGGATCACGAGAGAGATTGGGAAGCCCAATGATAGTGTGGTGGGTAAGGCGGTGTTGGGTGCGAGGAAGAGGGAGAAGAAGGAGAATGGGGATGCCGAGGCTCCCCAGACGTGAAACAGGCACACTGATGTTATGATGTATATATGGGTTATGAAATTGTATGTACTGTATTCATAGTATTCAATGGAAATGGAGTTGGTTGGTCTGAACGTCGAGGTGCGAAAGTTTGCTTAGGGGACTTGAGTGGACGAGGAAACAAGGACTCAAGAAGTGGTTGACATCGACCCCAGCCACCACCAAGAGCACATATATAGATAGCCGGCAGACTGCGCATGAGAATTGATGAAAACAAAAAAACAACAACACTGACTTTTGAACTCCCTACGCTTTTAAGGTTCCCGTGACTTCATCCCCACCGCCTTACATCATCCTTCCCAGACTGTTACAGCCCATCCTCCTTCGCAAAAGTATTTGCCACAATAAACGGAAACGCCGCCGTAGCCTCCATATACACCTTGACCGCATCGGCCCCGACCTTGATCTTGCCCCAACTAACCGCCTCATCCGGTCTCGCGCCCGCATCGGATCCATCAAACTCCTGCGCCGTATTGATATACACGGCGCTCTCCGCCCCGTTCCTCATCAGACACGCGTTCGCAATGTGATGCTTGACAATGCCTCCTCCCAAAATGATCATGCCCGCCCTCTTGGCCCGCACCGCAATGGTGTTGATCTTGCGAATATCCTCCACAATGTCGATCCGCAGCTGCTTGGGGCTGGCCTTGAACGTATGGAAATACAGCATGTCGCCTAGACTGCCGTCGGTGAGGGCCGGACAAAACACGGGGATATCGTTCTTCCAAGCCCAGTAATAGACGGAGCGCTCATCATTAATCTCCTTGCCCAACCGATGGATCACCTTGCTGGGCGTCCAGTTGATCTCGTTTTCGGTTCCCCTGGAGGCTTCCTGCTCCTCGAGCATCTTGTCCAGAATCGGCACGACCCAGTCCTCAAAGGCGCAGTAATTGGAGTTGGGCACAACCAGGTTGCCGATGCGGTTGAGGCCCTTGGAGCGCAGGTCGGCGCCCGGCGCGGAGAAGGAGGACATGTACGTGTCTCCCAAGCACTTGATAAAGTCCTCTTCGATGCCGCCGGCTGTGGTCACAATGGCAGACACGTGCTTGTGTTGGACCAGGTAGCGCAGAGTGCCGCGCAGGCCGGAGGAGATCAGGTTGGAGGTGTAGCCGAGGAAGATGGTCGTCTTTTCGGAGGTGGTGGGATCGCGGTAGGCGCGCTGTGACGGGGGTGGGGGTGAATAAGTGTTAGTCATATTTCCTCGTAACTGTACTGTTTGTTTGTTTGTGAAAGAAATAAAACTCTGTTACCATCTCGTTGATAATCCTCACGGCCTCGCACATGGACGAGGCTTGAAAACCCATGTGCTTCATCCCTTGCAAAAGGTCGTCGACGGTGATGGGCCGGCCCTTGAACTTGTTGAAGTCAAGCTCCTCAACCTTTTGAGAGCCCTCGGGCATCTCGATGGATTTGACGAGGACTGCATCGGCGACGGAACTTGGAATCTGGTTGTCCGCCATTTTTACTGTATATGATGTGTGTTGTGGTGAGGATGAGTCGGGAAGATGAGAGTGGACGAGAGCGTTTATGAGATATGTGTGCATGTAAGTGAAGTAGGTAGTGTGGTTCGATTGTTTTACTTTTTGTCCCAGGTCACTAAACTCCAAAAGTTTCCAAAACGGGATGCTGGGTCGAGATCGGTAGTAGTGGAGCACCTAGCTAGGTACAGTAGGTAGTGTACCTAGATGGCCCCGGTAAAGCTGGCCGTTTCAGATACATACAGAATTGCTGGTAGAAGATATGAGAACACTTTCAATATTCATTTATTCCTTGCGTCCCGTAGATGAGCAATTCCTTGACACGATCGTTGTTATTTGCCAATGCTGTCAAGAGTTTTTGGGCGTTGAAAGTACCTAGGTAATCTCAGCGCCCTTGGATTTGCCTCTCGAATTTTTGAGGTGGTATTGCTTGCTCAAGTGGTGATTTAGAGTTAGTTACCTGTACCTTGCTTCTGCAGCTCCCTCACGCTCACAAAATGCTCCAAACCCCATGCGGGACTTTGTTACAATGCTTCTTACATGGAACATTTGCAAGCTTTCCCCTCAATGCGCTGCCTGTGCATATGTGGTGCGTTCTGCCGTGATCTGGAAAGACACCGCAAGAGAGTGCGAGAAGTTGAACCAAATGTCACATGTTGGGCCCTGAGTGCTGATTGGGCGCAAGTATCTGCAGCGGCGGTACCAACGGCGGGGCGAACTTTTGAGTGCCGGTTGTGTACAGTACATACGCTACAAGGAAGATAAAATGTCGGTCCTCGTTCGCGAGGTGTCCAGAATCGATCCATTCTTGGTTTTGTCCTTCAGTCTGTCCAATGACCAGTCTATTATATATTGCGGTTTTCATCTTTTCAACCATGATAAAATCTGGGCTCGTCCGGCTCGTAGTGTAGACGGCCAAGTGGAGACGATGATTTGGTCCCTGGATGTCGACCTCGATAAATGATGAACGCAGCGAGTTCAGTTCTGGCCGGCCGGGGGGTCACAGACCATGCCTAGTTTGGACGGATTTCAATGTGGAGATGATTGAACGCCTCTTCCATTTTTTGAAGAAGCTCGGACCATCGAAAAAAAAAGCCAAACGGAAATGGCTCATGTGCGGTTCGCGGATGGCGGGAAGACCAGACCAAAAACCAAAAAGGAATCATGTCTTGGCAAGTTAACTTTCAAGAATGCCAATTTTTTTTCGTCGTTTCGTGCGTGTCTTCCACAGCCTGGGGCCGCCAATCAGAGGCTGCCCGAGACATGGAGATCCGCAATTGTGCATTTTGCATTTCTGGTCAACTGGCTGCACGAGCCCACGGGCTGCACATCTTGAGACTGCAGTCATGCTGGGCGAATCGGGTTAGCGCGCAGTTCGTAACCGCCCCATGCTCCTCGGGCTTCCATTGGGCTTAGTGGCGACTCAAGCTCGGGGGCGCCACCGGCCACCCAACTCATCGACAATTCACGGGTACGTACCGGTACGTATCGTTCGTTTCGGTCGGTCTGTGATGAACGTGTGAGGTGGCAGTGAGCGACATCCATCTGATGACGGGGAATGAACATGAAGCATGAGGACGGATGGATGGGGGACCGGGAACGGCGCATCACTGGACTTGGCGGCCGCAGGGCATTTTGGGCACCGATTGAATGCCAAAGATGCAAGCAAAGGGGGGAAACACTATGGTCCATATGTACAAGTATGTACCAGAAAACCGAAGAGTTTCTTGACCGCACGGACCCCTTTCAAGATTCGTGGTGCAGCGTTGAAAGAACGACGGAACAGAACCTAACGAAACGGGAACGAATTTGAGATCCACCCGTTTCCATTCTCCATCCAATCTTTTTAATCGCCCACTTCGTCCTTCAAATCCAGCTCTTTTCTGGGCTGCGCCAATGCCATCCGTTGACCGTCCTCCATCGAAAGTCACAAGAGCGGTGTACCTAGGTACTTTTACTCCTGCCTTACCGTATCGTCGGACCCTAGTACGGTTGTACATCCAAGTACATGTCAAGAACCCCGGATTCCCATTTTCCAGGGCCATCGAGAATCTAGGCTGGTATCCGATAGTTCCTTACAGTACCTTACCACGTTACCGTAACCTTGCAGCCTCGCTCTCCAGGGCTCCACCAGTGTAACACGGGCCCCCTCCGTCTCCGCCGGAGTGTCCGCTAGTAGTTCGCCGGCCGACGGGGACTCGAACAAATTGAGGAAACCGCGAAAGAAGCAAGCCAGGAAGAAGCACGGACAGCGAGCCGAGAACTGGACAAGTTGCGAGACCAACAGGACGGCACTCCCCCAGGCTAGGCTATCTTAAGGTACAAGCAGGCTACCCGACCGCAGCAGCCAGAGACGGGAGCCCTACAGAGGACAGGCCTTCCATAATCATTACCTACCTCTACCTACTTTTTGAGGATTTCCGATCTCTCGGCCGACATCGTTCCATTGAGCTTCTTTCTTACCGACAGGCGACACGAATCCACCAAGCACGAGCGCGGGACGTGCATGGACCTTTTTTTTTTTGGTCTGGTTGGTTTTTGGACTTTGCAACTTTCCAAGAGACCAGGGACGGACAGACAAGACAACTGAAGTTCAAGAAGACGGACAATAGAAACAGGAACACGTACGACCGGGTGACACGCGTTTGCCGTTTCCTGAGGTACATGGCTGCTTTCCATCCCCTGGTATTCTAGAGCTAGTTCCAGCACTCAGCCTCAGCCGCACTTTGAGTTACTTTCCACATCCAATTCATTCATTCATTCCTTCCACTTTCAACGTCTGCCCGTTTCCGACCGACGGCATTCGCCTGGAGCCCTGGACCGACGACAACAACCTAACCCACACCACCCACCTACCAGCAAGAGGTAGTAACTGCCCGAGTGCCCTGCAGGTGGAACTTTCCAACCTCTAAACATCCCATCTATCTTCAACAACTCAACCAACGGCAAGCTCATCCCATCTTTCGTCGACCAGCGCCACCCCGTGTTCCCCACGTCACATCACTTTTAGGCCCGTGACCTCGCTCCGTGTCGGCAACTCGAAGCTGCCAGGGCGGAGTAGCATCCGTTCTGTGGGATTCAGCCATCCATTCCCACCACCACTGCACCGACCTCACGGACAACAACAATACTATCATCACAACACCTCACCGACAACATCACACATCCTAGTGTCACCAACGAAGACGTCGACAACAACAACAACAACAACAACAAAAGCAGCACCCTAAAGGAGATATTTTAGTACATACCATCGACAGCATTGTGTGGGCCCCCGGATGCTGCGCTGAGCCGTCTAATCCATACTCAAAGGGCGCAGGCCCTCATTGCAAATGTATGTGTCTTCATTATTATACTACCAGTAGCATCCATACGCCCGCAGCAAAAAAAAGCACGCGTTCTTCCTACGTAACGCACCAGCCCGACCGTTCTGCTGCGTCCACAGCCACCTCGGCCAACAAACGCTCTTCCTAAAAAGCCGAAGAGGCGGCTTCAAACGCCAATTCGTCGTGCCCAGTAATCGCCGCGCCAATGCCCTATTTCCATCATCACCACCACCACCACCACCAAGACAACCACCATCGCCATGACCATGTCCCACACCCTCGCCATCTAGCCACAACCTCCCCCTCTTACCCTCCACTGCTGCCTCCTCCTCCTCCTCCTCCTTCACTTCCTCTTCCTCACCATCACCGTGGCCAACACAACCGCACCCCCTCCTACCACCACAGCCAGCACTACCCTCCTCCCCCATCTGCTCACCACTATGATTCCTACAGGTCAAGGTACAACGGCAGTAGATACGACGGCGATCGCCGCTCCCGCTCGCCCCGGGACCGCTCGCCCCCACCCCCTTACAGAGACCGGGGAGACCAGGGAGACCGCGGCCCGCTTAACTCGCAGCACTTCGACGGTGACCGCCGACGCCAGTCCCAGGCCGACTTGCGCGGTGGCTTCCAGGGACGAGATTCCTTTGCCGGTCGAGAACCACCCCGCGGCCCCAAGGCCCTCCTCCTGGATCCCCCGAGTGGACCACGCGGTGGTGGCTTTGCTGGAGAATTCCGTGGTGGGAGAGGTAGAGGCGGCGGGCGAGGCGGCCGAGCATGGCGGGACGACAGCAGAGATCGAGGACGAGACCGTGAACCGCCCGACTTCCGAGACCGCCCTCCTTTCAGAGACGACCGAAGCCGCGAACGCGACCGAGATTGGCACCCTAATCGAGACCGGGATGCCTTTGTTCCGAGGGGTCGGAGGCTTTCCCCCCAAGGAAGGCCTAGATCTCCACCCGGCCGTGATATGGGACGGGATATGGGCCGTGACATAGGGCGGGACTTTAGAGATCCTCGAGACATGCCGCTGAATGTCGACGCCGAGCGCGCAAGGAGGGGTTCTAGGGATGCCGGTCCTTTATCGGCAGGCTCATCATCCTCGGATCCTCCTTTTGCACCCATCCCAGATCGCGGCATACAAGATCGCGGCATGCTAGATCGCGGTATACCAGATCGTGGCGGATTCCGCGGCGGATACAACTCACGTGGCGGAAACCGCGGCGGCAGAGGAAGAGGCGGCGATTGGGATAGAGGCGGCCGTGGAAGAGGCATGTTTTACGATGACCACAGGGACCACCGTAACTGGCAGCCTCGCAGTCGTTCTCAGGAGGGTCGTTGGGGGCCCCAAAGGGATCTCATGGACGACCGGGACCGCAGAGAACCACCTGCTCGATACATGGACACGGTCAGGGACATGCGTGATGATCGGGACCCCAGGGAAAGAGATAATCGTGAACCGCCACCCCGACAAAAACTGGACCGAGTGTCGCACGAGCCAATCCCCACGACAACCAAGGATGTTTCACCGCCCCCGCTTGCCCCGTCTGCTCCCGCTTTTGGATCAGTTCCTAGCCGTCAGCCTTCATCGGCTGAGATCCAGTCCGTCACGGGTAAGGCACCACCAACCGGCCCCAGGGCTCTTATCACCGAAGAAAGGCAAGACCGACCTCCAGCCACTGGCCTCCCTGCCGCCAATATCGAGAGGGGGCCTCCAACCGGCCCTTCCAAGCCGCTTTTGCCTGAAGGAAGCCCTCTCATTCCGGTCGGCCCGAGAGCACAGCGGTCCAGCAAGCAATGGATCAACCCAACTCTCGGCAAGAAGATCCCCGAATCGCCAAAATCTGCCAGGTCTCAGAGCTTTGTGTCTCAGTCGCAACACGGCAGACCGTTTGGCGGACATCGGCCAGAATCTTCACATTCTGACCACCATGGCGAGACAGAGAGAAGGCCTCGTAGTCCCGATGCCAAATCTGAATCGCACCTTGTGGCGGCAGACGGACAGTCCCGTAGCTCGCTGCTTACAGGAGCAAATGATACGCCAATTAGGCCCGAGAGGGGCACGCAATCTGCAAGGGCCTCAGTGGACAGAGATACCAGAGCATCTCTTGATAACAGAGATATGAGGACAGACTCTTTCGGAGGAGCCCATCGATCCTTCAGAGAGCTGGATGTTGAACGTCGCGATGAAAGGCCCGCAATCATGGCACCAATGCGACAGCGAGAGGACGCGGACAAGAGCAGGATTCCTGAGTCTAGGGTACCGGTCAAGCGCAAGCGTAGTGTTCTCGCGATACCCTCAACCACTCGGCTCCAGCTGCCCACCCAACAAACCTCACTTCCTGGCACGGAGTCGGATGATGACGAAGACATGGATGATTATTTCGATGCTGAAATCACAAAGCAGGAAACCGAGCTCAAGAAACTCAAGGATAGCACAGCGGGTGTCCCCATGCAGATTGTCAGGCAGTATGCATGCACTGTTCATGATGCCATGGTCAAGGTGGTCAGTAATAATGTTTCTCTTGTAGACATGATTGGTGGCCTCCCGGGAGGATACTCGTTCCCTAGGCCAATACCGAAAGCCCACACGCAAAAGGAGCCGTCACCACAACCGAAGCCTCAGCAAGAGTTGCAGTCTAACGCGAAGCCGAAACGTCCACCCGTGCAAGAGGCCGTGCCTGCCGTTGTTCAGGAGCAGCCCGCCGAACAGGTAGAGAAACCGGTGCAGAAACCGGTACAGAAGCCAGCACAGAAATTGGATGAAGTTGAGCCGCCCCGCGTCTCGGAGTCTGAGCCTGAGGTTGCGCCCAAACCCGAGCCTGAGCCAAAGCCGGTTTCTGAACCCAAAAAGGAAAAGGCACCAGAGTTGCTGCCGGAGAAGCTGCCAGAGCCGGAGCAAATCCCACGGCCTCAACCGCAACCTCAACCTCAACCTCAACCGCAGGCGCAAGCGCAAGCACAGCCACCACGGCTACTGACAGAAGCAGAACCAAAGTCCGTGACGGAGCCGGAACGTGAGCGGGAAGCGGAGGTGGAACAGGAAGCGGAAACCCAGGAGCAGGCTCCCACGGAACGGCAGCTTTTAGCAATCCCGACCGTCGAGGAGAATGAGGAGACGTCGTTCCACCGTCCTGAGCCTCAGCCTAAGATGGAGGAAATGGACATTGGTGGATCAGGACTGCCTCCTTTGCCCACTGTCGAAGAGCACAAGGTGGTTGACCAAGATGTCGATATGGTTGATGTCGATGACGAAGGACGGGATGCCCTACAGCCCCCCTGTAAACCCGTGCCCTTGCGCGATGTGAGCGGTGATGGAGAGAGCGTTTCGCGATTCCCTCGGCCATTTAACCAGCCCACTTCTGACGGTGCCAGCTCATCACGCATGGATGAGGACAGCGAGGAGAGGACCGAGGACGATGCCAGCGTTAGTGGCAGCGTTGAGAACGTCAGAGAACTATCCACCACGCCACCCACTGATGAACTGCCAGTATTCAATGTTAAGCCGTGGCATCAAAGCAGCAAGGTTCGCAAGCTCTCGGAACAAAGTCCCGGATTTGGAGCGTTCTTTATGGGCAACATCCGGGACATGGCCGAGGAGACGGCGAAGGAACAACAGGAAGCAAAGCAGGTATACCGCACGAACTACGATGCCTACCTTCGGTTCACTCTTTCAGATGACCCTACCGCTGTCAAGAGCAGAAATCAATTCTCGCAGTCGGACAAGGATAAGGCCTCAGGAGGTAAGGGTCACTCGGGCTCCGATAACCACGGTAAGGAGGGAGGAAGGAGGACAACTAGTCGCTTTTCAACTGAACTCGACGTGGAGTATGCGATCCAAGAGTCAATTCGAGAAGCACAAGAGAAGAAAGAGCGAGAGGAAAGAGCTCAGCGGGAAAAGTATCGGACTGATAAGGAGGCCGTGATTCCCGAGATGATTTGGACAGACGAGGAAAAGGATCACCAACTCTTTGTCGATACATCGGGCTTGCTGCCCTTGGAAAAGCTTGTAGATACCTGGCAGGCGGTTCCATACCATGTCAACTTCACTGCGGAAGAAGCGGAGAAGTTCGAAAAGGCATACCTCGAGTATCCCAAGCAATGGGGCAAGATCGCCCACGAACTTCCGAACCGCGACTTCCACTCTGTCATTCAGTATTACTATGCGAAGAAGAGGGAGTTGAATCTGAAGGAGAGGCTTAAGAAGCAGCCGCGCAGGCGGAAGAAGGGACGCGGAAAGCAAAAGTATAACGCCTTGGTCTCAGAACTGGGGAATCCAGAGAATGAGACGACGGAGGATAATCAGGAGAACGGGGAGAACAGCAACGGTCGCCGTCAGCAGCCGCGCCGTGCTGCTGCTCCTTCCTGGGGCCACGAAGCCACGCCTAATGCTGACTCGGACGGCGCTACGCCTTCTGCCACTCCCGGACGCAGGAGAGCAGGTACGACAACGGAACCAAAGAACGACAGCGGTGCTGAGAAACCCGAAGGGGTCAAGAAAGGTGGCCGCAGAGCTCGCCAACCCAAGGCAGACAAAGAGCCAAAGGTGCCGAAGCCTGCTCAAGCTATCGCGCCGACACCTCCAGCAGCTTCAGGTAAGGGGACGAATGCCAGGTCTCGGTCGAACTCCACCAGAGTACAAAACCCCGAATGGATGCCCCCCAAGACCCCGGCGGAACTGGGCGCCCGTGTTCAGAACCCCATGTTCGACGTACCCCCTGGAAGCATGCAACCACCACTGGCGCCTGCTCAACAAACGCCTCTTGCCAGTCCCGAAAGAGCACCGCCTACACTGGCCTCAACAACCATTTCCGAGGTAATGGCTCCCCCATCCCTGCGTCCAGAGCCTCCTGCGCCGCCGGCATCTCTACCTACTTTTGAAATTGGACAGCCATCCGGGCCTGAGCGCATTCGCACTCCACAGCAAGCATCCAGTTACTGGAGTGTCTCGGAATCAAACGACTTCCCCAGTCTTTTACGCTCATTTGGCACCGACTGGAGTGCGATCGCCAACCACATGGGAACCAAGACTCAAGTCATGGTAAGTATAGTATATCCCGTTTCCTGAGTGGATGTAAAACTGACTAAGCCGTGTTCAGGTGAGGAATTACTATTTGAGGCAAAAGAAAGAGGGCAAGCAGGAATGGGAACAGATTGCTACCGAGGCCGATCTCAAGAAACAGAGAGGAGAGAGGCGACCTCCTCCACCTACTCCTTCTGCAGGGCCAAGGAAGCGGTACGATGTTCCGTCCTCGTCAGGACACCGGCCGTTGGCTGCCGCGGAAGCCGAGGAGCCTCAACCGGCCAAATCAGAAGCAGCGCCGCCGGCCAACCAGCCTTTCAGCCGTTTCCAGGTGACTCCGATCCAAGCGTCACCCGTGTTACATACCCTTGTGCAACGGTCGCCCACGGTGATGCCGGCACCTCTGCCTCCAGCGCCAGTGGCAGCATCGGCAAGCGCGGCACCTTCGCCGCAGACACCGAGCCGACCCGGACCCGCAGTCTCACAGACCATGTCTCCGGTGCCTCGTCCACTCCGCCAGCCGACCGCCACCTTCGTATTCACAGAGAGAGAAGGCGAGCCGATCCCGGTATCGCAACCTCCGGCTCAGACACAGCATCAGCCGGTCCGCATCTCCCAAAAGACAGCTCCTGTTCCCTCTTCCTCCATGCCGTCGGCAAGCGAGGCCATGCCCCGTTCTGCAGGATGGATTCCTGAAGCCAATCGCCCAACGCCCCTGCTGTCCCAGCAACAGGAGTTGCGCGAAGTTCGCGAAATCCGAGAAGGTCGGGAACGACAGATCAGAATGGAACCGCTCCAGCCAAGAGAGCAGCCGCGACCGATGGAGCGCCCGGCCATGCGCTTCAAGCAGGAGCCAGAGCAGCCATTGCACCATGGAGATCCATTCCAGAACTTCATGCCTCTGCAGCGCTCCATGCAGCCTAGGGCGGAGGCGGCGCCCATGGGACGGCAGGATCCCCCGAGAAGCATGGCACCCTCCGCCCCGCAATCCTACACACCGCCTATCCAAGCTCAACCTGTCCGCAACCTGCTCAGCGAGTCTGTGCCCCCCCAGCGCACACCTCCGCAGCTTAGCCCGGCGATGGAGAGACCGCCGGTACCGAGCACGCAGCGCCCTGTGCCGACCTCGATGCAGGAGCAATACTCTGCGAACACGTCCGCTGCTCAACCTGTGCCTCCGCCTCAAGCTCCGCCCGCTATTCCGCCCGAGCCAAAGAAAGTCAGCAGCATCTTCTCCATACTCAACGATGACAATCCGCCTGCGCCTGCGCCAGCCCCCAAGCGGGTCAACGACGTTGCATCCATGCCTAGAGCCGCGTCAACGTCGACTCCGCCGCCCCAGCAGATGTCTACTCGTCCTCCCCAGCCGCCGCCGACCACTGCTGTATCGGCGTCGCAGCGCAGGGACACCGAAGCCTTAGGGTATTCGTACGCGCGCAACCCCCCTTCGGCCGCTCAGGCTGCTATGCCATCACTGAAGCCTTATCATACTCAGTCGCCACAACCCCCGCATATGAATGTCGCCAGGTCGAGTATGGGCTCAGGCATGGAACCACAAGTCTCAGCAGCCGGCGACAACAGGGAATTTTACTCACGACATCAGTATCAACCACAGCATCAGCCGGGCGCGTCAAACTCTCCCGTACCTCATCAGGTGCATCACTACTCTCAGTCAGCGCAACATCCTCAGCAGCATTTACAGCAGCCCCAAATGGCATATCCAAGTCAACAGCAATATCAACCCTATACCACTTCACAGGCACTTGCTGCTTCACCTACGCCGCAATATGCAGCCCATCCGGCATCGATCTCGGGTCGACGCGAAGCTCAGTCGGCACGGGATGAATGGTCATCGACCCAACAGGGGCAGGCCGCTGTTCCAAGTCTGCAGCAGCGACAGCAACAGCAGCAGCAACAACAGCAACAGCAGCAGCAACAACAACAGCAACAACAGCAGCAGCAGCAGCAGCAGCAGCAACAACAACAAGGCTGGCCGCCGTCGCATCCAACGCCATCCAAGTCTAGCCAGGCTTCTGTGCCGTCTCAAACAGCTTGGGCCGCACAACACGGTCCCAACGTTCAGGCTAAACCCCCACAGATGGGCAGTGCAATGTCCCAACAGCAACACTCGTGGCAGGCTACGCCTACTCAACAGCCTCATGCCCTCGGCCTGAGAGAACCTGCTCCACGTGGCCAGGCAGTATTCTCGGCCCATGAAGCGCAAAGCCCTACAGGCAGTGTAGTGTCGCACCAACATCATCGCTCGCTTGACGGCAGGAGCCAATTCCCACCGATGCCTGATCCTCGGGATCGCCAAAACCTACGGAGAGGTGAGCCCGTTCCGCCGCAGGGCCAGCCGTACGTTAGATACGTTAATACCCCTGGTCCCGGGCATGGTGGGCCTGGCGGACCCCCCGGACAAGTTCCTGGCCGAGGAGAAGCCCCTGCAGATCTTAGGATGCAGCAGATGTCCCAGGCTAGAAGCTATACACCGGGACCTGTCGGTGCCGGATTTGATGGTATGGGTCCGCCACCCTCCTCCTCGCTAGGTTACCCAGAGCAAATTAGGGATGCTCAGATACGCGACGCGCAGTTACGGGAGATGGGCTCTAGAGATCTAGGTCGCGATCATCGAGTTATGGGTCGGGATCCGCGAGAACTCGGTCGGGATCCTCGAGAGGTAGCCGCTCAGCAGCGGGAGCAGCATGCGGCACAGTTCCAAGCTCAACAGCAACATGGTATCCCCGCAAATGCCGCCCATCCACAGCACATACAGGTCCAGGGCCATCCTCAGCAGCATCAGATTGCCCAGCACCAGCAGCACGTTCAGCAGCAACAGATGCAGCACGACATGCGCAATGCAGTTCAGGCATCTCATCAACAGTATGCTCCGCAACACCACCCAGGCGGCATGATGGCTAGACAACTACGGCCACAGCACCAGTATGACCAACAGGGGCATGGTCCTGGACCGGGTCAGGGAGATCCCAGAAGAGCTGGCTAGTTATCTGCGGCAGGATCTCAAAGAGGTTAGGCTTTCGAGACAGGACCCAGCTAGTAGAGCTTAGGGCTGTTCGAACTGGGGTGAATATTATCTATCTATCTATCGCTTGAAAAAGTTTCAACGGTAGATCGCTTTGTCGTAGGTGCCAGACCACCTATATGCGTGTTATGAGATGTTTGCGATGTGGTAAGTCGTCCTGTTCCTCAGAGTGGCCTCCTCCGTCGCTTACGAGATGATGTCACAGATTATGTCATTCCTCTCAGCTAGTGTAATGGGAGCCGACACGATTGCTCTTGCGACTCTGCGAAAGGGCAACACTGATGGCATTCTACTTCCAACGAGAGGCACGGACAAGATGGGACGAAGAGGCACAACAGCAGGCGGGAGAGAGCCAGTGAACAAATAAAGCGTTTGATCCAAGTCAGCATAGGCAGAAAAAGAAGGAGGGGCCATCATGAAGCGCGTGTACCAAAAGCGAAGCACGGCAGACCCAAACCATATTTGAAGGAGGGAAAGAAGCGGCAAAGGCGTGCGCGCTCCCGCCCCTAGCTGGAGGGTGGAACGCTGCAATGGGAGCTAATGTATTTAGTACTGAATTGCGGATTCTTGGTATGAACTGGTTCATGTTCGGGTTTGGCTTGGTTTGGTTGATCTATGCCAACATGGATGAATGGAAAGAAGGGGTTCAAATAAATAAACGGATGCATGCAAGGAGGGTGTTTGTGCAGTAGTCATGGAATGGATATTAGAGAAGGAGACGTAGCGAGTATAAAGAATTTGTTGCAACCAAACCATGACTTATTGTGGAAGGGCATTTTGAGCCGATTGCATTGCTGTCATCGAGAAGAGTCCGAGGAATTGGAGAAATAAGATATCAGGGATGGGACGAAGAGAATATAAGGCGATGTGATACAACGAAACAGTTTATTCAGAAGTTGACATAGACACGTGATAGTCATCAAAAGTTGTAGGAACAAATGTTTGATGATACTTAGAGGTGCCTTCAAGACGTCGTAATAATATCGCTCCATGTTGACCCCTGTCATAAGCCTCGACACTCGGATCAAGCATCATCGGGTAGAGAAGCGTGTACAAATTGTAAATAGTAGGTACTAGCGAATGGATATGCATAACCGTGTTCGGAAATCCAAACTACCTATATACTAAACTGGGTATCATCATTTCTCCAAGCATAGGTATCAATCAGTCCTACTCTAGGAGTCCGTCCATCCCCTGGGCTGCTTTGGACCCCATTCGTCCACTGCTGTCTGCCCTCAATACATCGTAAACCCTCTAACCTTACCACGAACCTCTTTACTTGATTTACTTTCCTCATAATCGTCATCATTGCTGCCGCTGCCCATTCCCATTCTCACTCCCGTGCTGTTTTCTCCCTTTCGTCCCCTCCTCGTTCACTTTCTCATCATCATCATGATTATCATCATCAAGATCGCTCTCTCCCTCCTCCTTCTCCTCATCATGACCCTCCTCAGCAGGTCCTCCACCACCACCACCACTACTAACACCAAGTCCATAGCCCGGCACGCTAATCATTGGAAACCCCATCGGGTACGCACCCGGTGAGCTCCCGTCCCACCTCTCCGGCACAAAACCTAGTCCAGAGGCGGTGGTTTGGCCTACTTGTCTTTTTGCGGGGCCGTAATAGCCGTCTAGAGAGGTGTGTTGCTGTTGTTGTTGCTGCTGCTGCTGCTGCTGCTGCTGCTGCTGGTGATGAGGACGGGTGATGAACTCGGCTGTTTCTGGTTCGGAGCGGACGTCTACCAAGTTGTTTTGTTGTTGCTGGGTGCTGTCAGTGTTGGGGCTCTGAGGGGTAGAGGTATTGGGGTTACTACCACCACCAGTCCGCCTCCTCCTCGAAGCCGATGACAGACCAAATGAGTTTCGCGGCGGGAGAGAGGCGCTGGCGGTGGTGGTGGTGGTGGCGGGTAACTCGACGAACATGCCCGAGGAATCTAGCTCCGGGACGTCACCTAGTCCACTGTGACTGTGACTGTGACTGTGACTGTGGGTGTAACTGTGACTAGTACCGCCTGACGCGCCTCTAGCATGCGAGGAGCCGACCAAGGGACTTGCCACTCCGTGCGTGACCTCGCTTCCGTCGGCGGAGAGTTCGCTTGCGTTACTCTGGTTTCGCCAGTGGTGTTGGTGTTGGTTGCGGGTGCTGCTGTAGTGGTATCCCAACCCTGTGCTTTGGCTGTCCACACTCTCACGCATGCCGTTGCCATTGCCGTTATGGCCACCAGCATAGGTAGAGGTAGTATGGGAGGAGGGAAGAGGTGGTGAAGCAGCGTTGAAATACCCTGCGTTTGGGTCGGGACTGGCCAGTTCGCTCCCGTTGTTGTTCCCAGCGCCGTGAGGCGAAGCCATGTAAGTAGTATCGCTCCCCGACCTCCCATGTCTCCCAATACCACTGCCGTCGCCAACACCGTGAGCACCAGGCTGCGGCGTCCCTGCCAAACTGCTAGCATTCGTCGTATGATCACCGGGCGTGTTCGTCTCGGTCATGAACATCAGAGGATCGGCGCTGGCGTTATCAGTGTCCGAAGGTGCTCTGACGTGCAGGAACCGACCGGATTGTTCCATCTGCGCTTGGGAGGCGCCGGTCTTGGAGGTCTTGGTGTAGGAGGCTTTGGAGTGGTAGCCGGATGTGGAACCCTTTTTGGATTCCATGGCGGATTCGACACGCTTGAGGCGACGGATGATGAGGAAGGCGGCGATGATGACAATGATTAGGAGAGCGATAGCCCCGCCGATTATGCCGCCTAGTTGGGCGCCTTTGAGACCGCCGCTACCGTCGCTGTCCTTGGTATCCTTAGGGATGGCGGAGGCTTTGGGGACGGAGCTAGGGAGAAATTTCGGGATGGCGCCGGAGTTGTCGTCGATGCCTGTGAGAGCGGGAGGAGGTGTTGGGGTGGTGAGGACAGCGGAGATTTGGGTGGTGGTGATGGTCTTGCCGCCAGAGATGGTGGTGATAATGTCGACTAGGGTGGTGCTGAATGGCTCTGTTGAGTAACATGCGTCGACTGCACATCCCATGTTGTTCGGGCAACAGCCGTAGTTGTAAGATGATGGACAGAGTTTATAGCTGGCAGGGCATGATGTGAACGTGTTTGTTACCCCGTATGGTGCTATACAGCCTCTTACGGCGTCACAAATCCAGCCTTCGGGACAGCATCCCTCTGATCTTTGTCAGTTTAAAGACCATACTCGGAACGGTAGGGGACATAAACTCACGTCCGGCCGTGATGGGACAATAATAATATCCTACTTTCCCGCACGCCGTACCCACTGCCGCTGTTGTCGCCGAGCATGCATCGCTTGCACACTCATACTGATCTGGACAACAACCTCCACCCAAGGACTCGGGACATAGCGAATGGTTGACCGGGCAAGTAAGATTGTCGTCTCCTCTTCGTTTCAATCGTAATGGCTGCGGAGGAGGTGTGATTTCTGGCTTCTTTGGGACCCTATGAACCATCTCTTTCTTCAGGAGTGCCTCCGCTTGCGACGCCATCGCTTCCTGGCCGAAGAGAGCCATGATATAAAGGAGGACACACGATGAGCACGAACAAATGCTGCGCATGGCGGCTTTGTTTTTTTCGAGTTTCGAGTTGATTGATTTGTCTTCCGTTCTGCTTATTGGACCTCCCGAGCTGGACAAATGTTCATTTTCCGTCGTTTATAGTCTGGTTTATGCGGTCATCCGCTGTGGTTTGTCGAATGCGCCGCGAATGCAGATATTCTCTGTATTCACCTGCGAGACGTAGAAGGTTGGAGGAGGAGGGAAGGATGGCCTGAAGGAGCCGTTTCCGATCGTTAAACAACTTTCCGGACCAGTACAAGGATAACAATGAGATGGGAATGGATCAGACCAGAGATTGATTGGGCAGGCCTTCTTTGTCCAAATAGGGCCGGCTGGCGTGTGACCTGAGAAGTAGTAGTAATTCTGCTAAGTGAGATGCCTATTATTGCTGACTGAGGATCCGTAACGGTTATACCTAGAGGCGGAGCAGAGAGAGCGCCACGGGCCCACGGACGGTATCCGAAGGGAACCACCAGTAGGGCTGAGACAGTACATTAAACGCGGTGCGCGCGGACGGGTGATGGCAGGGCTGGCCGCCGACAGTGGTTTCCGATTCCTGGTAATATGAAGCGTGATGACGAGGACGATGGCGATGGTGGTGAGATTTGAAGATCCAAATCAAAAGAGAAAAGAGCGAGTCCACCTGGGAAAGAAAAGAAAAAAAAATGAAGAGGGCACCAAAAGTCCCAAAGGACTGGGAAGAGATCGACCATTCCCGTCCAGTTCCTGTGGTTCCTGTGCTCTCATCTTGTGAATCAATACCACCTACCTTGCCTGAACGCAGCCTAGCTCCAAGATCCTTGTACGTAGAAGAAGATCCGACCTCACCCACATGGCCATTTCGGGCAACCATTGAGAAGCTCGCATGCAGGCTGGGGAAGCACTCGGAGTGACTGCTCATACGAACATGCTCCCTCTCGACATGGTTTGACTGAATGTTTGACCTCACCGTGCCTCTTTCCCACTGACAGCGCCATGGTGGGTGTTTTCCCTTTGTGGCGTCGGGGCTCTGGATCACGGGCAGCCAATGTGTTCTTCTCTTTGTGTGCATCGCTAGTCTGTTTGGTTTTTGAGGCATGGTGATTGGCCTACGAGGTAGTGTAGTGCCGAGTGGAGGGCTTCGTGGCCAAGCCGTCAAAGAATGGTAGAAGTGTCCGAGGAAGTGCAACTCTGTGGCTATCGCATCAAGCAATGGTCCGATAAAAACCGAATATCGATACGACGTTTGTGCTCTGGTATCACTGCAGAACTACGTTGGAGCGGCGGATACGTGAGGATACGGCGGAGAGGAGGTCGCGGCCACCAATAATGCGGCCCATGAAAGTGGAAGTCATGGTGACAAGCTCGGGCGCACCCCGAGGTGACTCAACTGCAACACAGCATTTCTTCTCTCAGTGAAGGGTACGGCCGAAATGAGCGAGAAGAGGGACTCTCTTTTCAGCGTCGGTATAAAGGCTCGGGTGAGCGACACATTCTCTTCTGCGAGATACTAGCGCGTGACCAAGGTATGAAAGTGGTGGAGGGATGTAAGCGCTTACTACGTACGTTACCACCAACTCGCCATCCTGAGGAAGTCGGGGTATTTTGTTACCTTATCAAAGAGCAGTTCCAGTAGGAGGAGATGTGTCGTTTGCCTTTGTTTCTTGTATCAGTGATTTCATCAGACTAGTCTAGTTAACAATTCTGGTGTGGCATTAGCTGTGCCCCTCCATATGCATCTCCGTTGGTATCCCAGTAAAGTTACTGAACAGCCGCAATAGGAGTGGAAAATAGTAGGCCGTTGGAAGCACTTTTGGTCCATCCCCATGTTTTTCCAATTGTTTTCTTGGTGTGAAAGATGTCGGAAGAAGCGAGGAGTCAAAACCATGCGGGATGTTGGGAAGTAATTGTTAGTGCACATACCTCTAGCCAGCTATCCGCACGTTCCAGCTTGTGGTCAAAGCGCGCTGACAATGGAACAAGGGCTGCCCTCTTCGGACGAGTTTTGCTGTCTCCACCGTTGACAACATCCATCTCACAAGCACTCCACGACTGTCTGCCGATACAACGACAGACGGCATGTTGGGTTGCTTCCCGGGTTCCAACATGTGCCTACGGCTATATCGAGTTGTTATATCATCGGGCTGAGCGGTACGGCACAGCAACGCGTACCACGGAGTGAGGCGCTCACGTCAACCAAAAACACCCGACGGCCAGATACAGTTTCGAATCTTTTTGTGAAGTGATGGCAACATCGAACGTTGTTAACAGTATGTGATTCTCCATTTTGTGTATAATACGGTGCGCATCCTAGAACCGACACAAATCTTACAGCACATACTGCTTGGCTTCGTATCGGGTGGTCAAGGTGGTTGGTAAACAAGACTTGGCGGCGCGGAGTGAAGTCTTCTGTCTCCCCGCTTCGCCAATCTGTCCGCATTTAGATTGCTATAATAAGGGACGGAAGCCATCACAGCTTATGCTATGATATTCGACAGTTTGCCTGCTTGGGTACAAAGGCGGGCAGTTAGTCTGATCCGATCACAGTCCCCGGCGTGGTCGGTCCAAGTATGTACCCGAGTTGTTCACCGAGGTAAGAACCGAAGCGACTGGCGTGCCGTGATTGACTCTCCAATCTATTTCACCACAACCAATATATATAGGCCGATCGCTTGGGCCCAATGTCTCATCACCATGCGGCTCTGATCTTTCGGATCACGGTTAATGACACCAACCCATCTCAAGAATGGCTTCAGGTACGGGCTCAATGTCAGTGGATGGGTCTCTGCTGAAGATGTGCCCTGTTCTTGCCGCAGTCTTGGACAGAAACAGAGAGCCAAGCCCTTCTCCCCCGCGTTTCTCTTGACTTTCTGGGGAAATTTCTGGGGAAAGGTGGAGGAAAGGTGGAGGGACAGTGGAGGTGGAGGTTTCCGAGGTGGGGGAATCTCCGCATTTTCACGCTTCCTTCTCCGCACATTGGGCGAAATATGTAACCGGCCCTTGCCTTTCCAAGAAAATCTCGGAGGCAGACGAGCGGACAGTGTAGAAAGAAGAAGAACAGGCTTGTTTTGTACGCCCCAACAGAGGATCCTTGTTCGCCAGGCTTGCTCCAGACCAAAGTTGGCCTCCCTCGTGACCTTCACTGACAAGCCAAGACTGCTGCTGTCGTCAACGTGCTGGACGTAGCCGGCTAATATCCTCATTCCAAACCCATCTCCCTATGACATATCGTAGTCACCGCCCATTTGCTTCATATCTCCGTCTTTCATCATGAACACAACCATTTCACTCAAACTCCAAGAGAATCCAGTTTAAGCTTTTCATCGGCGCTTGGCACAAACCAATCCCACGCACGAGACAATGCTTTCTCCATAACCATTTTGAACAAGATGGATCCCGCTGGTGTAAAAATGCTCCTTTACACACGACTGGCTCCTCCAAAGGAGCCAAAGAGACGATCAAGAGCCGGTAAGTCTCCACCCGGAATGCACTCTCGGCCCTAGTTTCCCCGTTAACTTGGAACAAACCTGCTCTAGGCTGCACCTTTTGGTAAGTTGTTCCTTGTACTCTCTCGGTTTTTCGTGAGATTGCTGTCCCGAATATCAAGTAGCTGCTGACCTCTGGAAAAGCAAAGAAAAGGTTGGTCGAGCGCTCTCCGCTCTTACAAGAGTCTGTTAACTGACCAAGCTTCAACACCATAGAAGAAAAAGTGTGATGAGGGACGCCCGCAATGTTCACGCTGCGTCGAGCATGGGGCGACCTGTGTCTACGAGGCTTTGCGGCCTCGAAGGCGTCGAAAAGCTAGCTTGGCGACATCATCATCATCATCAACTATATCCAGCAATGACAGCCATAGGCTATCTCTCTCCCGGAGATTATCGGACTTTGGCTACGACAGCGACAGCGCGAGCCCTCCGGAATCTACAGAGGTGGACTACATGTTTTCACCACCAGACCTCCACCAAAGCACCTATTGGAACGCACCTTCACCTACGCCGAGTTACCCTCTCATCTCTCCCACAGAGTCACTCTTCACACTGCCAGACTTGAGCCACGCCGAAGAACTGAGCGAGGATGCTGAAGATGGTAGCGTTGCGAAATCATGGACGACCTACACAGCGGTCACTACAGTGTCACGGCCAACGCCTTATTATCCAGACCTAGTCATGATAGCGCCATGTCCGGTGACATCACCTCTGTTCGAATTTCACTCGCCGGCATTTTCAGAGTTCACGGATCGCCCCAACCGACGAGCTCTCGTGGATCATTTTTGTAATATTCTTTCCCACCTGATTGTCTTTCGTGAAGAGAGTGGGAACCCCTTCCAGCAATTGGTGTTGCCATTGACGCGGCAGAGCTCACCCGTGCTCAATGCCATCTTCGCTCTAGCTAGCGCCCATTTAGAATATCGAGGGATCCAAAACGAGGAGCATTCCCTCTTCTTCCACAACCAGGCCATTCAGGGACTTGGACGTCTAATAGAGCAGAGTGCCAAGTCGAACCGAAACGAAATTTTGGCAACCATCATGTTGCTTATCTACTATGAAGTGGTGAGTTTCTTGCAGACACGGCCAAGTTTGAGAGCTAACTCGAGCCAATGTAGCTGGTCCAAAGAGGACGATCAAACCTAGTGGATGGCCACCTGAAAGGGGCACTTACCATCATGTGCACCAATCCCGAACCATCAGACTCTACCAGCATCTTTCTCGAACGGGTACGTGTACACCCAGACACACTTACTTACCACTAGAGTAAACACTAACAGATTTCACAGGCCTTCCGCTTCTACGACGTAATAGCCGCTCTCTCCAACGGCCGCGCCCCCCTCTCGGCCGCTCCCACCGCCGGCTGCCTGATGCCCTTCCCACCTCTCGGCGCTCCCATGACCTCCCCTTTATCCAACGTCGACACCCTCCTCGGCATGGCCACCACGCTGTGGCCCATTATCCACCGACTGTCCAGCATCGTCACGCTGAAAAGCGACCTCCAAGCCGCCATCTGGAGCAACGCTTCGGCTTCCAAGATCGCCGTCCTGCGAACCGAACTCGAAGCAACCACTCAAGCCATTGAAGCCGCTCTATCACGCTGGCAACCGCAACTACCCCCTGGCTTTGTCCCCGATGAAGACATAGACGAAGAGACGGACAAGACGGATAAAGTCCACAGCAAGCACCTGAACCACGGTTCAAAAATCGACGTCATGTCCCCTACGGTGGCCGAACGCAGTCGTCTGCACAGCATCTGGAACAATGCCCTCGCCTATCGCCACTCGGCCTTTGTCTACCTCTACCGTAGCGTGCACGGCTATCGGCGCTCTCACAGGGCGGTGCAAGAGCACACGCATCGCTCGCTTTTGCACTGCGCAGCGACGGTGAAGCATGAGGGGCCCATGGGTGCGCTGCTGTGGCCGCTGTTTGTGGCGGCGTGCGAGGCTGTGACGGAAGATGATCGCGGGCTGGCCGAGCAAGCGTTTGAAAAGGTCAAGAAGAGGCAGGGGATGAGGAATATTGAGAGGGCGTGGGAGATTGTGAGGGAGGTGTGGGAGAGGGCAGATAGGGCTGAGTCTGTAGCTGGCGCTGGGGCTGGGGTGGATAGGGGATCGAAGGAGCAGGAGAAGCTGGGGAACATGGGAACGGGAGAGGATCTGTGGAGGCAGGTTAGTAGGGAGATGGGGGTTAGTGTTGTGTTTGGGTGAAGAAGACGACAGGATGTCAAGGGAGAAATACCAAACAGGAAGGGTGCTTTGAAAGGGAACAGATGCATCGTCCTGTGAAGCGAAGATGACCTTAGATCCAAAGTTTCAGGGCCTCTCCGTGGAAGAATGGGCCTGACAAGCTGAAAAGCATAATGGAAACTCTTGGGCATTTAACCTGCACCTTAAAGAAAGTCCGAAACTATATATAGCCGTTTCCGTCTGCAACAGCTCGGAATGGCTAAGAGTAGGTATGTAGCTGATGATTCGGAGAAAACTCCGTCTTGGTTCAGTTGCTTTCTGTGTGAAACAAAGCTGCCTTTTAGTGACAGCCCGTTATCTCCCTCCAGTCCCTCGAGCTCTCGCTTGCCAAGGTTACACAAGGAGGTCCAAGCTTGGCACAAATATGTGAACCTGAAGTATGTAAGACGGTGGAAGTCTGGGGATACCAGAAGCGGGGTAAAAGCCCAGGCGTCGACACTGCACCGAGTACGATGATGCTACGGTATCTTGTCTACACCATCTACCCAATGTACTCATCCAGAAACGTTCAAAAATGCTACTTGAAGTTCCAGTTTGCATGGAGCAGATTCTTTGACAGAATCTAGACTCGCAATGCGCAAAGGCCGCAGATAGTTTGGGGGCCTTTTCTGTGCCTACTCAGAGTTGGGTTCGAACCATACATGGCAGCGGCGTCGAAGATCTCCAGCCCAGCGGGAAGGAACACTCCCTGCCCTGTGGGGTCGGAAGATGCACATCGATGCACAAAATGAATGCACACTGCACATCATGGATTTGGGAAGGTGCGACGAACCTACAATCAGGGTTCGTACCTACCTAGGTTGTTCTGCTTTGACTTTCATGTTCCTGTCCTGTTCGTGTCTGTCCAGTTTGCCGAGATTCCGTCTCTCATCGACTCGAGTTGTGTACACCACAGTACAAACATCGTCTCCCGACATGGACACCTCGGGACAAATCTCCCCAAAGTGGTGGGTGGTGTGTACCGACAGACAGACAGTGTGTACCTCCGTTTCTTGCTTGACCCGGAAATATCCCCACGTTCAACGGCCAATTGCATCTGCGAAAGAGTCTGCAAGCCGGCAGATTAGACGTAGCATTCAGACTCAGAGAGTGATATGATTGGCTCCTTCAGCGTGGGGATAAATCCGACATGGAGGAGATTGAGCGGTATCGCCACCCGGGCATCACCGCCAAGCACAATCCACGAACACCTTCGCTCCATGTTGAGCGAGCGAGCATGAAGCTGGAGATGTATGTACACTAGGTGATGGCGGTGCTGCACCTGGTCGGAGTCCGGAATTGACACATACACAATGAGTGTACACATCACATTTCTCAACTCACCACTGCATTTCTCTTCCCCCCAATCATGACGCTGGCGCCGATTCGTATGGGGGACGCGATTCGCTGAGGGCTGCAAATAGAGTGCTTCACGATATTCGCGACATCGGCATCAGCTGTAGTGAAGCATCGTGGCCGCTGCCCGTGGTTGGCTGCCCGGCTTGATCTCGCACAGAAGCAAAGCGCCCTACACTACACGTGTAAAAGCCGCCGCCGGGACGTCCTTTTGCTTTCCCCGTTGCCCGTCTCCCGTTCGCTAGAAAGGAACACATTGGGGGGACACAGACCTGCACACAAAAGTGTTCTAGCCCAGCCCTGTCAACAAACTATCGTATGCTAAGGTAGGAATGGAAGAAGGAAGCCTGCGTGCCGTCTCCAATTCTCGCCCGCTCTTGCCTCGCCGCAAAAACTTTTCCTCTTTGTTTTTTTCTTTCTTTTTTTTTTTTTTGATTTTTTTTTTTTCCCCCTCTCTATCTCTCCGTCCCCAAGCGCATGTCTTGTCCTTGTTTCTAGGTGTTCAGTTCCTCTTCTCTGCTTCCCTCTCCCGGAGTCATTCCGTTCCCGACACCTACAAGTCCTGGGGCACCTCACCACTGCAGATCTTCGGTCGCGCTTCGGACGAGGGATCTGCTTGTTGCGATCCACCTTTCAGGTCATCGTGCCATCTCTCTCCCTCCACTTCGTTTCCATAGCCGGAGCCCCAAATCCAGCCACGACACATCTCTCACTTCTCAAGCCCTTCCATTCCTTCCTTGTCTCATTCAGTCACATACGAGAGCACACGAGCACGCGCCACCGAGGTATTCATTCCCCTTCTTGTTGTTGGAGCTTCAGCTGTGTTTGGGTCATGTCAGGGTTGCGTTCTGATACGACGTTAGCGAATAAGCCCAGCAGAGAACGAAATCCCGTGCTTGCGCGGCTTCCAGGTTGTCTTCGAGATCGGCATGCTGAATTAACCTTCCCCATATTGCCAGCTCTCCTTTTGGCCAGTCCTGCCAGTCTAGAACGAGGGGTCTCTGACGTACCGGAGGCTTGCACACCACCTGACTACGCTTCCAAGCCATCTTGACCGTTATTCTTCGACACCCTTTTCCGAATCCCGGAAATGATCGTTGCCCGCAAAATCACGTTCAACGGCATGACCGATGCATAACTAGTTATGCTATTGCGCGCCTGTTGTTAAGATCGTCTCTGCTCTTGCACGAAACGGCAAAAAGAGAGAGAAGAAGCTTCACACTAACGTTTGGACGGCTCCTGCACTCATTGGGCGGAAGCTCGGATATATCACAAAATCTTACCAGGGCAATTTGGCCACGCCGAACAACCAACAACCGCGTGCCGCCCAAACCCATCCATCTAAACCTAACACTGCTGCTGCCAAGAATAGCTTCCATCGTCATTTCCACAAACATAGGCTTCCCCACCATCTTGAACGTGCGCCAAGCGTCCGTCACCACTCAGCACCACCATCACTTATCCTCCATTCCAACAACGGTTTCACGGAACGGCTTCGAAAATCGACAAAATATTGACAATCTAAGTGTCTGGCAAACCATCATGGTTATTCTATAAAGCTATGCCTGAAATGACCCTGATGACCGCACCCCTGCCGCCTCCCAAGCAGATACGCTTTGTAAACAACCAAGGCCAACCTCCTTCCAAGAGGCGGAGGATCAACGCAGCGTACGTGTTCCCCTTTTTGTATCCCCATCATACCACATCAATAATTATGCATGTTTTCATCCCATACTGCAAGCCATGTGGCCGAGGAGACGCGTAATTCAAAGAGCCCCGCTGCCCGAGAAACCACGGAGAAACCGGCGGCATGGAGATTAGCAACACGAAAGAATGTGTGACAATATCTGGGCCCTATCTAAACCAACTTACCTTAACAGATGCTTGACATGCCGCAAGAGGAAGACCCGATGTGCCGGTGAGAAACCGGTCTGTTCGACCTGCACAAAGAACGGGCACCAGTGTCAAGGGTACAACGATCTGGTCGAGCGAAGGAAGGAGGACAACCGGGGCAACGGCCTGACAAAGGGTGATCACGACCAAGTTGCCGGGGTGAAAAGGGAGGCGGATGATGATGAGGATGAACATTCCGATGACAACGAGGAGGAGGAAGAGGAAGAATCTCACCGACAATGGAAGAGCAAGACGGCCCCAGCGAGCAAAACAGCCGGCTTCGCCGTTGTTGATAGAGATGCTTCCATGAGGCGTGATTCCATCCCAAACCACAGTTATTCAGGCAACCGGCCGCGGGGACTTAGTAATGACTGGGGTCAGGATTCAAGGTCACCCAGCTCTACGAGAACGGCGAGACAGTCCAACTCAAACGGCATTCGATCACCGACACAGCACCACAGCCATTCCGTACGGAGAAGAGATCGTATACCGTATTTTCGCTATTTCGGTCCCACGGCGATTGTCCCCGGGTTCAAGCAAAACCTGCCCAAAGAACCCTCTTTTAGGGACCCACGCTTCATGAGAACCGGCTCGTCAGTCGCAACAACACCGACGCCATCACATCACATACAGCCTAGAACGATCCAGGAAACCCTCAAGGACATTCCTACCCTGGAGGACATGCCGGTATACTCCACCGACGACTCCAAGCCGGTGCCCGAAATCATCAAGGTCTTGGTCAAGACCTTCTTTATTCGTCTGGGTTGCAACTACCCCTTCTTGAAGGAGGAACGTTTTATGCGCCAGCTCGAGGAGAAGCAGGTGGAGCCCATCTTGGTCGATGCCATGTGTGCGTTGGCTGCCCGGTTCTCCGAGCTTCCTACCTTCACCAATGAGCAGGACGGCAGCAGAGTTCCCAAGTCCGAGTATGGTGATGTCTTTGCTCAACGAGTCAAGAACGCCACCGTTGAAACGTTTTCCTGTCCGTCAGTCGCGGCTGTTCAGGCCTTTCTGCTCATGGCATACGAGGCTTTTGGCGCAAACCAGGACAGTGCCCTTTGGATGTATTTGGGCCTTGCCATCCGCATGGCTACTGACCTAGGTCTTCAGAAGAAGGAGGGTGTCAAATATCAAGGGTCTCGTGATCCGTGGTTCACCAGGAGGTGGCTAAGCAAGTATAACGACGACGGAAACTCGCCCACGGACAAGCAAGAAGAGGAGGAAACAATCAGCCCCGAAGAGCAAAAGGAAGTGGAGCAGGCACGTATCGACACGTTCTGGGCAGTCTTTATGCTGGACAGAATCATCTCATCCGGCACAGGTAGGCCAGTCACTTTGCGAGACGATGACATGGATTTGGAAATTCCCGAACCCACTCTTGATCAAGAGGGTTGGCCAGATCCCTTCCCGGCTTGCATCAAGATCATCCATCTTTACGGTCGCGCGTCCGATGTGCTCAACAACATCCGGGATGCGAATGATCTCACGGAGGAGAGCATGAAGAAGCTGCGGCAAATGGAAAGCGACTTGACGATAATCTACTCGAAACAACACGAGCGGCTGGTATTTAATACCCACAACTTCAAGCACTACGTCGAGGCGGGCCAAGGAACCATTTTCATACTACTTCATTTCTGGTTCCATGCCATGATCATTATCCTCCATGAACCAGCACTACTCACACCGTTCGGTAAGCTCACTAACATTCAGCTGTTGTCCAACAGTCGTGAGCTGGCCAGATCGAGCGCAAAGACCATTGCGGATATTGTTGCCTTTGCCGAACTCATTGATCATCAGAGCTACATTGGCAATCCTTTCACGTCCCAGCCCATCTTCATCGCCGGATGCGCCTTTCTCAAAGAGTCTGCATTGAGTGCTTCAAGCCCACCATCACGGGAGCAATCCCCAGGAGCGAACAACAAGAGTACCGGCTCGAGAACACATGGCGGACGTTTGAGCATACCGACCGATAATAGACCGCGACACTCCTTGCTCACTTCGGCCGCGGCCGCGAACTACTCGCGCTGCTCTCAGGCACTTTCACGCGTTGAACAGTACTGGGCAGGAGTCGGGTACATCATCAACGCCATGGAGCAGAGATCACAGGGCATTGAGGACTGTGAGACATTTGCACCGGGCGAGCTCGAGCGTATGCTTGCTCGAACCCGTCAGGCCTCAGTTCAGCGGTTGATGGGGTTCGAGAATCCGATCCCACCTTCGCCAGGTGTGCCGCCTATTGCCTTTTCGCTTACTGGCACAACGAACTCGCCCAACTCGAACCTTACGAGACTGTATACAAACACATCCGGTACGACGAGCTCGCCCAGCTCGAATCTCACGAGAATCTATACAAACACGTCCAACCCCGCCATGTCCAACAATTTTATGTTAGTTCCTTCCATGTCATCAGTCGCTTCGCCTCTTCCACCTACATCACAGCCTACCACAGCCGCAACGCCACCAGGAAACATGATCTATGATCCGATCCGGCAGGACACACCAACGGTGGTGTTCCATCCGCCGCCGCATCCGCAACCCAATGTTCCGACAGCAAGGTATCAGGGCCGTTCATCTTCGTTCAGCCATCTTCGCGACAGACGTTCCACTTCCACTTTAAGCAGGGGAACATCCCTCAAGTACGAAACACCAGGCTCGGATGACATGACGGTGGGATCAGACAGTCCCACCATAAGCGAATCGAACTTTAACGCCTATGGGAAGAGCCTCAGCCCAGCCTTGCCACCGCTCGCACCCCCGCCTCATCGCCACTCGTACCTGAACAGTCCATCAACGCAACATGCAAGCACTCCATTTGATAACACTCTATTATCTCCCCCATCGGGACCCTTGACAGATCAAGGAGGGCTGCACCATCAGAATCAGAATCAACAACAACAACAACAACAACAACAACAACAACAACAACAACAACAACAACAACAACAACAACAACAACAACAACAACAACAACAACAACAACAACAACAA